TCTGTGTGTGTGTGTGTGTGTGTGTGTGCACCTACTTAACCATATTTTGGGGAAAAATTTGTACCCAAAAGTGAGTTAAACCTGACAAAATCTCCAAAAACCTCCCTTTGGGGACGTCCTCATTTGTAAAACTGGTTTACAAATAAAGTAAACAGTTTTTTTTATTGTAAAAATGCACAAAGTCTCCTGTGAGGGGTAGGTTTAGGGGTAGGGTTGGTGTAGGGCAATAGAATATACGGTCTGTACAGTATAAAAACCATTACGACTATGGAGAGTCCCCACTTAGATAGCTAAGTAAACGTGTGTGTGTGTGTGTGTGAGACAGGCAGCCGGCCATCATCTTCATCGATGAGTTGGACGCTCTGTGTCCCAGGAGAGAAGGAGCTCAGAATGAAGTGGAGAAGCGGCTCGTGGCCACTCTGCTGACGCTCATGGACGGGATCGGATCTGTGAGTATCTGACCGTTTCTGACTTGAGTCTGTTTCTAATGAACATTACTGGATCTCAAGAGACTCTGAACTCTGGATCAGCAGCTCTCAAAGGCCCCAACGCGTTATTACAGGGTGTCCGCGGGTCCTTAAAAAGTCTTAAAATGTCTTAAATAACGTTTTCCTAATATAAGGCCTTAAAAAGTCTTAAAATATCTTAAATTCGGATTCGATGGGTCTTAATTATTTTTGGTCTCATTACCGCTAAAATATCTTCAGTCTGATGGACCTAATGGCTTTACAATCATTGGACAGACCGAAGATGTTTTCTTCCCGCGGTAAGTTACTGCGTCATCAGAGAGAACTGCAGTAAGTTAGCAGAACACAGAACACAAGCTCGCGCTGAGGCTCACTCTGTTTGTCTCGAGACTTCAGAACAAATGAGCGTGAGAGCACACATAAACTCACACTGAGGGGTAAAAATTAAAATTTTTTAATTTATTCATAACATGATATAGTTAAGTAACACCATGACACGTGAGCTATTTTGCTCAATATTCTCACGACGCAAAAAAACATTCAAGACACCTTCAGAGTGCATGCATTACGTGAAGTCTAGTGCGCTCTTTCACTGCATGATTCAGTCTATTAAAATACATTCAGAATGATCACAAATTCAAGAGATGGGGGCAGAAAATGTGTATATTTATACCACTTCATATAGTTAATCAAGTTCACACGGAAGAGTGCCTTTTTTTCCTCCAAAAATTACCATATAGCCTACAAATGTGATATTGATTTTTTACAACAGTTCAATAAACTAGAAGTTTTATTAAGAGACCATATTGCCTGTTTTTGCTCTATTTCGCCAACAAAAATCATTCCAGACAAAGCCACAGCACTGTTTTGTGTCTCTGAGCAACATGACGGTGTTTCGTTCCTGAATGAATCACTCGTTTAAATGATTCGGGTTCAATCGCAATGCCTCACTTGACAGTGACTTGCTGCCACCTACTGGCGGTTTTATATATATATATATTTATATATTTGGCTGAGATACAACTATTTGAAAATCTGGAATCTGAGGGTGCAAAAAAATCTGAATATTGAGAAAATCATCTTTAAAGTTGTTCAGATGAAGTTCTTAGCAATGCATATTACTAATCAAACATTAAGTTTTGATATATTTACGGTAGGAGATTTACTAAATATCTTCATGGAACATGATCTTTACTTAATATCCTAATGATTTTTTGGCATAAAAGAAAAATGTATAATTTTGACCCATACAATGTATTGTTGGCTATTGCTACAAATATACCCCAGCGACTTAACACTGCTTTTGTGCTGCAGAGTCACATTTGTTTTCTGTGCTCAGGAGGGTCACAGCGGACAGCTGCTGGTTCTGGGAGCCACTAATCGTCCTCATGCTCTGGATCCGGCGCTGCGGCGGCCCGGACGCTTCGATAAGGAGCTGGAGATCGGCGTTCCCGGCGCGGACGGGCGGATGGATATCCTGCAGAAGCAGCTGCGCTCCATGCCGTGTGACGTCTCCGCCGCAGAGCTCCGGGAGCTAGCCGACGCGGCGCATGGATACGTGGGAGCCGACCTCGCCGCCGTCTGCAAGGAAGCTGGTGAGTGTTCTTATAAAACACCGCTGTTTGACCTCTGACATCTGTGTGCTCAGCGTGTGTGGATTCCATCCTGAAGAGCTCACACAGAAATGCATGGGTTGTGAATAGGACGAGGAGAAAGAGAAATGAAAGGAAAATGAAAAATAATCCAGGTGCCAGAGCTGCACAGTTAATGGTAATAATATCGAAATCAGTGCGATTACTATGCGCTTGGCTCTCCGCTGCAGATGTTTGTGTTTGTGCTCTTATTTTCAATGTTGAATGTGTCTTCAAGACTGGTGCTTCCTCCTCGGGTCACAATGACCTGCAGACAACAGCACTTCCCGTGAGACACACAGCAGCCACACACAGAGAGAGAGAGAGAGAGAGAGAGATGTAAAAATAGACTGAGCAGTTTGCTCCATCAGTGAGTCTCTGAGGGAAGGTTTGGTTTTCTTTGGGAAGGTCAAGACCTGTGTGGGTGTCTGTGAGTGTGAGAGTGTGTGTGTGTGTATGTGTGTGAGTGAGTGAGTGTGTCTCGGACCTCAAATCTCCCTCATTCTCTGAATAATCAATAATGCACAGTTTCCTCTGAATGACCTGCAGCAGATAAACACACTGAAACTCAAATCTACTGCATCCTCCACTCCAGGAGCCAGATTCACAAAAATACTCTAAAGCATGTATCTATTGCATCAGTGTCTCAGCAATGGATACTCTGCAGTGAATGGGTGCCGTCAGAACGAGAGTCTGATAAAAACATCACAATAATCCACAGCACTCCAGTCCATCAGTTAAAATCTGGAGAAGACAAAAGCTGAAACTAATCCAACATTAAGACGTTTTTAACTAAAATACATTGAGTCCATAATCCATAATAACTCTTCCTCCAGTGAAAAGGTGTTCTGGTGTGAATCAGGAGAGAAATCTGCACAGATCAAGCAGCGTTTAAACAGCTCTAAACACATATGTGGCTGGATTTTGATGTGAGAGGACAACAGCAGATGCACTTTTTCACCGGAGGAAGAGTTATTATGGATTATAGACTTGTATTTTAGTTAAAAACGTCTTAATGCTGGATTTGTTTCAGCTTTTGTCTTCTCCAGATGTTAACTGCTGGACTGGAGTGCTGTGGATTACTTGTGGATTATTGTGATGTTTTTATCAGCTGTTTGGACTCTCATTCTGACGGCACCCATTCACTGCAGAGCATCCATTGCTGAGACACTGATGCAATGCTACATTTCTCCAAACCTGATGAAGAAACAAACTCCTCTTCATCTGGGATGAACACAGATGCTTCAGTCATGCAGGGAAGGTGATTTTTACTTTAGTTTGTTTATGTTGAGATTGTGTGAATATCCGAGATGTGTTTGTCTGGCTTTATCTTTCATGAAGTAAAGTCAGAAGAGAAGCAGCTGGTATAAATCAACTGAACGACCCTAAAGGAGAATAAACAGATGTAGTGTGCATGAATCACGGTTTCTTCCTTATAAAGTCTTTCTCTGTTCGCTCTTTCCTTTTACAGCCAGACGAGAATCGGACACAAACTCCATGCCGGGTTTATATGTGTGTCCTGTATATAAACCCGGAAGCGTTTGTGACACGCGTGTGTGTCCTTGTTTCCCTCTGGAGTTTGTTCTTTCGGTCTTATTTTATGTAAGCGCTGGTAATGTTTCTTTACCGCAGCTGTGTGTGTTAATACAGGAACGAGAAAGATCTGAAACATCCCTGCTTTGCAAATAAAGTAAACAAAGTTCTTCCTTTCTTTCTTCAATCATCTTTTAATGATTTCATGTTTCGTCTGTTTTCTGCCTTCAAATTTAAATATCATCACAAGCACAATTCACGAAAAAAGCATTCAGAAGCCTTTTTACATATGCAATGTAATGCTCACATATTAGTCAGAATAAATGTAGTACAGGACTTAATTTTCTCCTTGATGAATAGAAAGAACAGTTAAAGGGATAGTTCACCCAAAAATTTAAATTACCCCATGTTTTATTCCATCCTAGCTGTATATGACTTCCTTCTTTCAGACGAATAAAATCTGAGTTATATAAAAAATATCCTGGTTCTTCCATGCTTTGTAATGGCAATGAATGGGTGCTGAGATTTTGAAGCCCAAAAAACTGCGTCTATCCATCATGAAAAGTGTCCCACACGGCTCCTGTGGGTTAATAAAGGCCTCCTGAAGCGAATCGATGCGTTTTTGTAAGAAAAATATCCATATTTACAACTTTATTAACCGTAATCTCTGATTGTCTGTTTTCTGACCCAGTGTTCATGATTATTTAAGATGGATTTCCAGGTAATCTGCTTTTAATTGGAAGCAGAGGCTCTTGGACTCTTATGCTCCTCTCTGTTCCACTTTGGTTTCTGTCCTTGGCTGGTGTTTGTGAGTCCTGTTCGTCCTCGTCTGAGGTCCAGAGAGAGCAGCAGGTCAGGCTTGATTCACATGAGATCAGCGCGGCGGATGTTTACTCTGTGTCGGAGCGGAAGAAAGCCTGTGGGATGTTTGTTCTCAAATAAACCAACTCAAACAGAGATTAAACCCGCGACTCTCGCTGGATTCAGCAGAAGAAGCTATTTACAACTTTATAAACCGTAATCTCTGATTGTCTGTTTTCTGACCCAGTGTTCATGATTATTTAAGATGGATTTCCAGGTAATCTGCTTTTAATTGGAAGCAGAGGCTCTCTGTTCCACTTTGGTTTCTGTCCTTGGCTGGTGTTTGTGAGTCCTGTTCGTCCTCGTCTGAGGTCCAGAGAGAGCAGCAGGTCAGGCTTGATTCACATGAGATCAGCGCGGCGGATGTTTACTCTGTGTCGGAGCGGAAGAAAGCCTGTGGGATGTTTGTTCTCAAATAAACCAACTCAAACAGAGATTAAACCCGCGACTCTCGCTGGATTCAGCAGAAGAAGCCGCTTCAGCTGTGTCTTATTATTCGTCCGGTGTGAGTGTGTGTGTGTGTGTCTGTCTGTGTGTCTGTCTGTGTGTCTGTGTGAGAGTGTGTGAGTGTGAGTGTGTGAGAGTGAGAGAGTGTGAGAGTGAGAGAGTGTGAGTGTGTGTGAGAGTGAGAGTGTGTGAGAGTGAGAGAGAGTGTGTGAGTGAGAGTGAGAGTGTGAGAGTGAGAGAGAGTGTGTGTGAGAGAGAGTGTGTGAGAGAGTGTGAGTGTGAGTGAGAGAGTGAGTGTGAGTGTGTGTGTGTGTGTGTGT